CTCCACTGTGCAATTTTCTCTCAGTCTTCTCTTAAACATTCGTCTCTCTTAGATCCAGATATTCTCCTCATCGCTTTCTCAAACAACTTTAGTGCATGTCACTCCAATTATACGAGAGACCAAGTTTTGCACTCATACAAAGCAACAGGCAACACTGAATTCGTGGAGGCAATTATCACGTGATTCAGTGATTATAGGCGAGGTTTGGATTGTTAATTGGATTTACTGAACGCTTACAGATCAGTGACTGCAAGTGATTATAATCAGTTCACTAATTCACAGTCTGCAGTTCACTAGCGCACACGCTTAGATCTTCTTAGTCTGCTGTGTCTTCGCCGGTTTTCTAGCAACGGCTTCCAACGTCGTGCATTCCCCTTCCTCTCGGTTCCCGAACTGTTCCAGTCCCTCATCTACCAGCTTCTAACAGCAATAGCTCACAACAAATGAACTCCAGCGGTTAAGCAACTCACTAACTCAAAAACTGACTCCACTCCACTGAATCAACATCAACATGACATGGCCCTTATGCAGATGAACTGCTCCGTCTTCTTTACCCATATTGGTCACACGTCCTGATATTTCATCTTTTGTTTACTTGTGATTTATTTAAACATGTTAGTTATTAATACCACAGAGCGTCGAGCTACATATAAGATGACAGCTCTGCTTACTTCTTGCTGGTTACTTCCTTCTGTCCTCAGAATGGAGTAGGTTCTTTCGAAACGTCGGTAAATATTCACCTCACTAAACGGCTGCACAGCCCAGAAAATAGCAATAAAAATTAATGACATAAGTGAAACGATTCTTTCACTTCTTATACCAATGTCACCCTTCGAGATTAAAATTCGTCGAGGTTTTGGTTCCTTATTGGACTCTTTCCTTGCGGACCCTCCCCACCGGAAGGCAGCGGCCCTCACTTTGAAAAGAGCTGAACTGGGGAAGTACAAAGGCTGAAGAGGGCTATGACACAATGAAAAAGGTGACGAAGAGAAAACGAAGGAAAGGTTAATAAAAACTTGGTGATCTCAGAAGCCTCGTTTCATTTCATTTTCAAAAGAAGCAAAATAGGCCAAGCAGAGGACGAAGAAAAAGTCAGAATCAAAAGACAAAGCAGAAGGGAGTCTGACGCTGTTTAAGAGAAACTGTAGTGAGGTACGATATATGGTTCAGAACAGAACCCGAGCAGAGTGTGTGGAGGTCTGAGCCGTTTAAATTGCTGCGGCTGCTGCTGCTGCTAACTGACCTGGGTATCTGACGGGATGTCTACTGTGGAGGGGGGAGACACGCAGCAGTTGACCGAGTCGTACAACACAAGGAAACTAGTTCTGTCATTTGTATTACACCGCTGGCATGCTAGCCACTACTTAGCAGACTCTATACGAACATTCGCTTATTTGCACTGTAGCGTGTAGAGCCGTTACTATGCAACGACCGTGAGATAAGCAAATATACCAGAGCCTTTTCAAGGCAATGGCGTCCCCGCAGTAAACAGACATGAACGAAACAATGGTACAGCAACAAAGAAACTGTGTTTTCTGTTGTCCGCGACGCGGCTGTTACTACGCAACGGCGCGGTAAACACATCTCTGCGGCAAGGAATCCAGCCACAATAGAAGAGCTGTTTTTTATGTTTGTCCGTGCCCAGTTCTTATAACTGGGAAGGTCTGGGGCAACTAGAGTAGTTACTTGCAAGAGTACTCAGTTGAGAGTCAGGCGTTGAACGGAAGACTTTATGTTTGATATCTGGAGTCTGTAATTTAGCGAGACTCTTATAGTTCCTGTGTTAATATCCGTTGCCAAGAAACGGCGAGTGGAGACCGCAATAGACTGAGGACACTAGTCTGTGTGTGTCAGTCATCTGTAAAGTGTAGTCACGAGTCGTGAGTGTATAAGCAGTCAATAAATGGAGTCACCAATCCAAACCCCGTCTATTGCCACTCATACAAGTCACAGTACGTTTATATGCGCCTAGGAATATGAGTTTTTTATTTGTATTATATACTGATCAGCTAGCAGATCAATTTTAATATTATTTATTTATTTGTAATTCATCAACGACTCTGGAAATCTTTGCTATCATTCAGTTAAGAAATCTGTCTTCTTGTCAGCTATCTAAAATAAGAAATATAAGTTTACCTGTAGTTCTGTATGGGTGTGAAATTTGGTAGCTCTGACATTAAGAAAAGAACACAGAGCGAGGGTATTTGAGAACAGGGTGCTGAGGCCAATATTTGGACTGAAGATGGAAGAAATAAAAGGAGATTGGAGAAAACAACATAATGAGGGACTTCATAAATTGTAACTTTCTCCGAATATAATTAGAATGATCACGTCAAGGAGAATGAGAACAGCCAGGCATGTACCACGAACAGGGAAGAAGAGGAATTCACGTAGAATTTTTGTGGGAAAGCCAGAAAAAAAGAGACCACTAGGAAGATAATATTGAAATGGATCTAGAGAAATAGGTTGGGGTGGTATGGATGGATTGATTTGCCTCAGGATAGGGGCCAGTGGAGGGCTCTTGTGAACACAGCAATGAGACTTTGGGTTCTGTAAAATGCTGAGAAATTCTTCGGTAGCTAAGCGTTTGGTGGATCCTGATGAAGGACTCCGCTTCATTGAGCTAGATAGTTGATTAGTCGCTTATAAGACACAAACACGAAAACAGAAAGTTGTACTTAAATCATAAATCTATGATACGATTGAAATATGCCTGATTCTACAGAAAGTTCCCCATCTTCTGGAATATGCCGCCGTGTAGTACACTGAAAGTCGACTGATGTTTTGGAGGAACATATTGCCTCCATCTTCAGGGTCGAAGAACAAGCCAAGCACAGTTCTGCTTGTTGCCTTGTATATGCTTCTTTCTTTTTTTACTCATCTACCCTGAAGATGGAGGCTAGATGTTCCTCCGAAACGTCAGTTGACTGTCACCAGACTATATGCCATTACATCCTAGAAGCAGAAGTTGTGGGAAGCTGAAATACATCACTGATTGTACACTCCGGAGTTTTACTCAGTCTTCTCAGTTTACTCACTCCTATACGAAAACAGTGCAACTAACGTCGGAACATTGTGTGGCAAAAATACGTAAAGCCGCATCTCTCACCGTATATTTATCCTGTATCCTGTATGTAAAACCCTTAAGGTGTATTATGAAATTCTTAATATTATTTTGCCAAGATCTAAAAGACAAATATCTTGGGAAATAAAATAATGTGAACATACAGAGTGTCCCACGAGGAGAGGTCAATATTCTGGGAAGTCACAGTATCAGTCATTCTAAGCAAAAATGTGTATATGTACTGGATGCTTCCTATTCCGAACGGTTTCCGAGATAGAGTTATTTCACTGTACAGTTCCAAAACTGCTGATAGGAAAGAGATATTATGTACCGTTTCTAATACCGGTATTTACTGTTGAAGTGACAAAGGTGGTACAGTTTACCCGGTATAATACATTTTCGAAAATTCCACTGTCAACATCAGTGCACTTTGCAACTCGTGTGAGGACATGGCGTGTTGCTCGTCTCTGCAGTCTACAGTGAAATAGCTCTATCTCGGAAACCGTTCGGAACAGGACACATGTACACCTTCTTGCTTAGAATGGTCCATACTATGACATCCCAGAATACTGACTATCCTTCTGGGCAGGGCCGCGCCATAGCTCAAGCGGTTAGTCGCTGGCTTCCCACCGCGGCGGCCCGGGTTCGATCCCGGGTCTCGTCAGGTGGGATTTGTGGTGGACAAAGTGGCGCTGGGGCAGGTTTTCTCCGAGTACTTCGGTTTCCCCTGCCAATCTTCATTCCACCAATTGCTCCACAATCACCCTCACTTATCATCTGGGACTGGTACAATAGGACAAAAGCGGCCGCAGTACAAGGTACTTAGTCCAACCCCATTAGCAATAAAAAAAATCCTTCTGGGTTACCTGTATAAATAAATGCATCAAGTTTGGGGTTAGTAAACACAACAGACGTAGCCTATGTGAGATGAAATCACGTGATATAAAAGGGAATATGTAACTTCTTACGATACCTGAAATAAAATGGAATATGCCGTAATTTGCATAGGCTGTACATAGCAATACCAACACCATTCATTACTTTAAAAAAGACTGAAAGCCAGGTTTCGATTTGCTGACTGATACGTACGTGGGCATGAATTCCAATCGTTCCACTTTCATTCCATGGTAGCATACCTGTTCCCTTCATACAGTCAACTGCTCACAAACTTAAATAAAAAAAAATAATAAATTTGAAATGGTTTTTAATTTTGTATGATAAAACCGTCGGGACATGGGAAAAAGTTGATATGAATAGAGAGCTTTGAGCCAAAAAAAACAGGGCCATTCAACCCTACCCTGAGCCAGCTCACAGCCTATTTCCTTTGGTTCATTAGTATCTCCCATCTACGTCTGTATCTCCCACGTGTTCTTCTTCTCCGTCACGTTTCCTTATATTTTGTACGCATCTCACATTATAAAGTAAAGCTGTCCCTGTGCTCAACGAATTAAGCACTACGCCATGAAGGTGTATGGGGAGTAGATGTATGGATCCACATTTTCTTGACCTCGGCACTAGTTGGAGGTGAGTTAATAAATAGAAACAAAACCAATGTCTCATGAATGTTAAAATCCTAGAGGTTTTCCATACTTTTGAGGGTGTTATTTCATGACGAAGGCTACATAGCGTCTGATTGTTGGATGATTGGGAACATATTTTGATAAAAGCAGTCATGTCCTAAACGGGGTATTGTACTGGAAATATTTTGGAAAAACATGAAATACTTGTCAGGACAGCCGATTTATGGGTTCGAGATTGGAATCCTCTAAAGCGAGTCTACACCGTTACCACCACACTACCCTGCTCCGTCAGTGCTTATTGAATATAGTTTGAAGTTCGGTTTCTCTCATACAGTTTAAGAACTGAATTACTTGTGTCACTGTTTCACAAAACTGCAAATCGAAACCTGCCTCCATAGAAATACTTCCGTACTTACAACCAGTTGCCTCCAGAATTAGACTGCGCAGCAAATGTGCACCGGGGCAACAGAAGAGCCAGGGGTAGAAGTATCGGTGGTAAAAACAACTGACGGTGTACCAAGGCGATCACGGTCTCCATGGTGATGAGGCGGCAGACTTCGCTCTGCAAGCAGACCCTCCGGTCAGTGAAGCAAACCAGCAGCAACAGCAGTTGACACTCACAAGCCGCCCAATGTTACGAAACACGTTAATCTTAACAGGTAACCAACGCTCCACTACACAACTCCATATTGGAAACGACACATAACATTAATAGCCAATACACTTTAACGGAAAATGAATGTTATGTACATAGAATCAAGATGAATACATTTTAACACACGAAAATTAAGTAATGCATTGATAGATTCGCTTTCGCTGACAACGAAATCAATGAACTTGTTTCTCTCACGGCAAGTTTCATTGAGATTATAGGACGAAAACATGTTTATGTCATGGTCAGAGTTCGTTAGCAGCACATATGAAATTTCTTCCAGTTATCACAAAGACATTCACATGTATTTAGAACACACGATATACAACAAAAATCAACCAAGAATTACACAAGCACATTTAACATTACGAACATAATCTATATCACGTTACGTTAAAAGTTATTCTCACATGCATACCAATTAGTTATTCATCCACAGTTCTCACAAATAATTGTACATATACCGTCTCCTGTATTTACGTTACTAACACGATATTTTAAACCCTGAAATGTTTTCTTCAGCAGTTAATCGTCACCATTTCCACAAACACAATAAAGGTTAAATGACTTTCGTGAATGTATGGAAGTAGTAAACGAAGAGCGGACCTCTCAGGGAACACGCGGCAAATACATCACACTACAAGCACGCAATGCAGACAACTGCCGGCCGTCTGTTTACCTATCCCTTATTGTAAGTCCATGCGCCAAGCACCCACATCCTTATTGGCTCAAACCCCTCCCTGTCGCCCCGCTATTGGTCCGACTTTTCGTGAGTATTCAACGATTGGATGAAGGATCCCCCTCTATCCCTCACAATTAGAAAGAGACGGGAAGAGACTGTAATAACAACCCTAGGTCCGTATGAAGATGTTGACCTCTTAAGTCAAAGACATGTTATTATGCCGTTCCAGTCTAGTTGCGGTGCGCGAGTCGCGGTTTACAGCCTGTAGCAGGACGTTTCAGGGAAGCCAGTTTCTCAAGCAACAATTCATGCAGGTTCCCGCTTTGTAGCCCAAATAAAACGAATTACCTACTGGTTGAGCAATTCCCTACCTTTTTACAACCACCCAATATTCACTTTCACATTTTCTTCTGTGTAATTACACCGTTTAGACTGGTATACATGTACCAATGTTTACGAGGAAACGTGTGTCCATTGACGGGACATGTTCCTCTCAAACGTTGGTATCAACCTACCAGACTACACGGTGTCATAAACCTTCGCCTGAGATCCAGGCCACTACGATTTATAAGGGAGGTAAGGTTCCAAGCATTTTAGACCTTGACACAAGATGGCGACTGGTGATATTCAAGTTCCGGCCGTTACATCCCCGAGAATACATTGCCATATAAACATTGGGTTGGTGGTTGGGTGAGAACTGAATTCGACGGACAAAAGATTTGCTAGCGAAGACGAACAAATGTCACTGTTGGAAATCATCTTGTCTGTAGTCGGTAGTTTTACATTGGCTCACAAAAAAACATAACGTAACGAAAAGCAAAATAGTAAAACGGTATAAGGAAAAATTGTCTCTACGTTTAATTATCTAAGCATTATGCTACGAAGGCACTGGGAGAGTGGAGGTATAGCTCCACCATTCTTGACCTCGGCACTAGGTGGAGGTGAGTGGTCAGCTTCACTCCCTGGCCGCTTAACCCCTCGGGGAAGGTGGCCCCGATATCCATTTTGTAGGACGCTGGGTGGGCTCCAGACCCGGTGTGGACGCTGTGGAGAAGAGAGAAAATCTCTTGCTCCTAAAGGGAATCAAACCCCGACTCTTCGGTTGCCCAGCCAGTAGCCTGCTACCTATATCGACTGAGCTATCCGGCTACTGTTATTCGCTTAGATAGTTAAAGCAGGTAGGTAGGCAGTTATGTACTTCAGGGTGTTTAAATATCTACCAGACTACACGGTTTCACGTCCCAGAAGATAGTAATCATCAGAGTTACTATTGTGAGAAGCTCAAATTTCGGACAGTAAAGCAGTCAACCTAAAACTGAGCCTGACAGCTAGACCTAGTCGGACTGGAGGTTACCACAGCCCTGACTTTGAACAATATACCATCTTCTTGAATGTGACGCCGTGTAGTCCAGTAGATACTCACCGACGTTTCAGAGAAGCCTAATAAATCCATTTTCAGGCCAGGAGATAAACCAGGCAAGTTTACTTGGCTCACTCTTCGACCCTGAAGTTGGAGGCAGTGTTTTCCCCGAAACGTTGGTGGACTTCTGCCGCACTTCATGGTGCCACATCCCGGAAGATTATACGCTAAATATTTAGCCGATATATGGGTTAAACCCCGAATTTTCCGAGTTAACTGCAAGTTAACTTGCTGTGCTGGATGACCACTTGTCCCGAGATTAAAAAGCTCTTTCCTAATTTACATACAATTACTTTACCAGTTTTTATCTAATGAACTGACATGAAGTTTAAAGCAGAGAATGACAGCAAGTGTCCTACATCATATCAGATCGATCCTTCCAACTGAGCAATAGACACATCAAGAAATTTCTCTTGTCCCGATTAGTCTATTGAGAATTTTCACTGACTACGTCCGGCTTCACGTGTGCAAGGGTGTGCTCCGTCTGGTAATAAAGTTCCCGGACTGGTGTGAAGAAAAATAAAAATACAATGAAATAAAACATTGTTTTATTTCAGTTCAAAATAACCTCCACTCACTTGCATACATCTGTTGAATCGATTAAAAAGATTTTTAAAACAGTTGACAAAGGATTCCGAAGTAACAGCGTTCAGATCGGCCGTCACGTTTTCTTAATGTCTTCAACATCCTGAAACGTCTTTCCTTTGAGGGCAGTTTTCACCGTAGGAAAGAGAAAATTATCCACTGGTGCGAGGTCAGGAGAACAGGGGGGTCGCTTATCTCCATAACGCAATGTCTGGCCACAAATATCTTCACTACCAGTGCGAAATTGGAATGGGCATTGTAGTGCAGCAGGAACCAACTGCCCTCTGCTGGAAATTGTGGCCTCACCCAGGAAATGCGTTTCAACAATCTTCCGATATACTCAGCGTAGAAAGCACTACTGACTGTCTGCCCTTCAGGCACAAATTCTTCATGAATCACATTGTAAAAATGTTATCAGCGTGGTTTATATCTTGGACTTTTGCAAGCAAAAGTGTTTGGGTCTTGGCAATGATTTTGATCTCCATTCCTACCCTGACGTTTCGTCTCTGGGTCATATTGAAATACCCATGACTCATCTCCAGTTACTGTCTTGACAAGCCTGGATGAAGTCTTGGCATGATGTGAATCTCTATTGTTTATGTATGAGACGAACGGTGCGCAGATCTTCCTCTTCCGCAAATCTTCAAGGAGGATTGACGAATCATCTCCTTATTGGTGTTTGATTAATCAACCATCATTCTGAGAGTCAACCAATGATCATGTGTCACCATTTCATGGACATTTCTCGGTTTTGTCTGCATTCTGAGAAGTTGAAGGAAGTCTGCTTCTTGGGTCATCCTGAAGAAATGCAGAAATGCGTGATAATGTGGGATGTTCCCACATCTCCATTAGGACGGCATTCAACTCCCGTGTGCGAGAGAGAGACAGCACTGTCACCACACTCCTGTTTCATCAGCTGCAAAGTTTCAGTAGTAGTTTTGCCTTCTTGAAACAAAATTTAATGTTCGCTCTTTGCTCAATCAGTAAGAAACTGTTCCAACGATCTGCATGGTATAAAATCCTAAACACGACTGAGCATGAACGACAAGAGAGAAGTGAATGACCCTGTAGAGGGAACACGACAGAACAGTCAGCTTACAAGGATAAGATGGAACGTGTTCCTGTGTGCTCTTAAATGCACGTAATAGTCTCAGACCTGCAATTCATTTGCCAGAATTTGTGCTTGTATGTTTCTGAGACATGTTTTCTGCAATTTGACATGGAAATTGCCTCGTTATAAATATATTTATAATAATAATTAATAAATTCCATATTGATCGAGTCTATTACGGTTATTCAAATGAAAGCCGTTCGCCGAAGGAAATAAACTACAGTTCCCTGGTCCATTCTGCAAGAATTCTGCACTAAGAACGCCGATATTTAACCGAGAAAACTGTTCTCGTTTGCTTTAACTTATCTGTTCTATTCCATGGCTCTTGGCCGAATTCTGGTACGTCATATACACAGCGCCTCCAACGGGTTTCATTTGAATAACAGGAACTGAATACGAGTATTTACACAAGGAAGATTCTATACAAGAATCTTCTTCTCACAGACTTACGACCAAACTATACTAAGCCCAGTAATAATATTTCATAATTCACAATGTTACAAAGGACATTACTTCACGTCCTGCATCGAAAACGAACCTGTCAGTTCACACCCATTTTTAAACAATGAAATCAAAAACTGGTTTGAAAATTGTAGGAAGAAAGTGTGTGGGCTAAGCAGAATATACTTAGAACTTGATAGTAAATAATTCATCCCATATTATATAACTAGCTCATTATATTGTCCATAAGAGATCCCCTAAGCCTAGCCTTCATATTAATAAAACGAGTGAATTAATGCACTCTAGAGATACGTTTATATGTTTCTGACTGAAGACACCACTTCGCGTAATCACACCCCGATCATCACATCCAATACTGAAAAATAGAAGTCCTGGGAAGACCTAATACCCTAGTTAATTGTTCGCGACACGGTCCGCATAGAAGAAGAGGTGTCCAACAATTCTTCTATGGTTGCATGTGTATTCGTTGCCGTTGCCTAGTAACGATAAGGGGAAATACATATAGACACACAGACTGATTACGTCGTTAATATGGGCTCAAGTGTCATGATATACATACCAAGTTTCATAAAGACTGGTTCAGACATTCAAAAGTTGATAGGGAATAATTAACAGACAAACAGACAGCATGATGATCTCATAATCCTACT